TCATACATACTAAAAATGTAATTTTGATGCTCAGAACTAAACAAAAAATCACCTTTTAAAAACCGCCGTAGCAAAAACATTAGTATTTAATTGTTTTATAGTAAATGAGGATTCTTTTCACTTGCGTGCCTATTGTGCATCCTGAAAGTTACTGCACCTTAGGTATGCACAAACAGTTTAAAAAAAACTTTAACAAAGTCTATATCATACCCTTATAAGAGGTAAAACAGAGGTAAAATCTAAAGGGCATTTCCATTTCTGTGCGTGCTTTTTTATTTTTCTTTGTTTTAGCAATTAAAAGCTGGGAGTTTGTGCAACATGCATACTATTTTTATTTTCTTAAAGAACAATTATAACAAAAATAATTTTATCATATTTTAGGCTGAATAAATTTTTATCTGATTAAATTAGATATATACATTTTTACAATTTTATTTTTTTTGAGTAATAATATCGCTACATTTTGAAAAATATACAATAATTTTCAAAACGCCATTTTCTAGCTAGAAATAATTGATGACTGCAATTTCTCGTCGAAAATATATTAAATATGAGTCGTAAAATTATAATATTTTACTTGAAGTACTCACAAGCAATTTATTTCATAAAAATAACTACATGTAATTGACAATTTTGCAACATCCGTGCGTGAGTTCCGTGCTTGATCATTCATAAACTGCATTTAAACGATTGCTGTGACTCCATGATTCATATTACAATCCTGCAACTTTCTGGAAATCTTTACTAATATTTAAAAATAATATTTAAAAAATAGTATACCGGTGAAACTTATACTGTCCGAGGAATTAAAGTTTATTTATCTTGTAACTAAAATAGAAGTTTTTCTGTTCCGTGCGTGATTCTATTTCAAACTTTATTTATTCTTTGCTAACATTACTAATGCTTACTATTTTTTGTTTACAAAATATTTATATTGATCAGAACTAAATGAGAGCTAGATTGGAGATAAAAGTAAAAACATATACGAGTTTCCGTGCGTGATATTTTGGAAATGCCCTAAAACAGTTGGTTTTTAATTTTATCTCTGTATTATCGTACTACGGGGCCAGACAAATACCTAAAAATATCAAAATTTATTAGAAGTTATGAATAGCCATTAATTTTAACTACCAAATATAGCTTATTTTTAAAGGAACAGTAACCAAACTTATAACCAAACTTAGCACCAAAAAATCCAATCATTAAACTATATTACAGTCAGTTTTACTAGAAAAGCTCTAAAAACTGTCATTATTTAACCTAATTAACATTATTTAATCATAGTAAAAGGTCAAAAATAATTTTTTTTAACTTGGCCGCCAATTATCTCTAACAAGAATATTTTAATAAGAATTTAATAATAATTTTGTTTAATAATAAGTTATTTTTGATAATAAAGTGAAACGGGTAACAAAGTTAAGCATTAAAACCGGCAGCACTTTTTTTAGCTTATTTGGTGAATTTATTTTTCTTTTTTTATTTCATTCAATTAAAAAACTCTGTATTTAAGGGCTTTTTGATAATATATAACATTATAGTGTTTAACCAATTTAAATTTTTCATAACACGTACCTAATATATATATATATATATATATATATAAATATATATATATATATATATATATATATATATATATATATATATATATATATATATATATATATATATATATATATATATATTTATATATATATATATATATATATATATATATATATTATATATATATATATATATATATATATATATATATATATATATATATATATATATATATATATATATATATATATATATATAATATTTAAGGGCTTTTTGATAATATATAACATTATAGTGTTTAACCAATTTAAATTTTTCATAACACGTACCTAATATATATATATATATATATATATATAAATATATATATATATATATATATATATATATATATATATATATGTATATATATATATATATATATATATATATATATATATATTATATATATATATATATATATATATATATATATATATATATATATATATATATATATATATATATATATATATATATATATATATATATATATATATAAAATTTAAACAATTTTAAAGATGTATTCGACAAAATAGAATGATCAATGTTCTTAAAAGAACAGAGTTTTTATAAATTAGTAGAAAATCATTTGACAAAAACTTTTTTTTGTAAGTGATTTTCTACTAATTTATAATTGCTCTGTTCTTTTAAATATATATAAATACATTTATACATATATATATATATAAGTTTTTTAGCAAACATAAAAAATAATTTTAGATATATAAAAAAATAACAATAAATAAACACACATAAACGCAAACATATATATATATATATATATATATATATATATATATATATATATATATATATATATATATATATATATATATATATATATATATATATATATATATATATATATTTATATATATATATATATAGTGTAGTCGAAAGAATCGTTTAATGTAAAAAAAGTCTCTTTCGACTACAATTTTCATTACCTCGTCACTTAAGCTGTTTTTGATTGTCATCGAAATGTCAAAGCAATGAATTTATGCGGAAGTAAATTAAATTTAATTTTTTTTTTAAAAATTTTGAAAAAACCGCAATTATAACGACTAGAAAGTTTTTTTTTATTAGTGGTGTTTTTGTTATTGATTTAATAAAAAACATTTTTAAAACATGCGTAAATGTTGCTACATCGACTATCTTATAGCCTGACTCACAACAGAGTGCTGCTACATCGACTGACAAATAGCCTGACTCGCAACGGAGTGCTGCTACATCGACTGACAAATAGCCTGACTCGCAAGGGAATGCTGCTACATCGACTGACAAATAGCCTGACTCGCAAGGGAGTGCTGCTACAACGACTGACAAATAGCCTGATTTGCAAGAGAGTGCTGCTACATCGACTGAGGGTTTGGTTCGGCCAGGCAGTCTATCAATTATATAAAAAAAAATTTAATTTTAGAAACTTTTTCTGGTCTGGTTTATTAACGCGCTCTTTAAAACTACAGTTTTTGGGAAACATTTTTTGATGCTATGCAAGAGACATGCAAGAGTATCCCAGTAAACTTGCCATGCATGGTCCATGCATGGGATTCATTGGTTAATGGCCGGCACCATTGCGCCAGTGATGCCAGTCATTAACCAATGGTTGGCCATGCTTGTTTTACGATCGGCCAACTTTGCCGATCTTGCCGATCATGTGCCAGGCTTAATCCATTTTTGTAATAAAATAAAAGTTTTTCCTTTGCGCATGTGCATAATTATAACATTTTAAAAAAGGTTTAAAAAGGATAAGCATCACGTTTACTTATAATAATGTGAATAGTAAATAATATTTACTATTTATCTATATTCGTATTTCTTACTTTTTGTTAACTTAATGGCTGTAAATAAATGAAAAGAAAATGTTTTAACAATGAAAGATCAGTCATTGTCAAAACATTTTCTTTTTAATATTAATAATGATAAGAATCTTATTAAGATAACAATGACAGAATATATAATTATATATTCTGTCATTGTTATCTTATCATTAATTATATTAACATTTATTAAAATGTCTTCTGCAGAAGATATTTATATCTTCTGTCATTGTTGTCTTATATTTTTTGTCAATTTTGTCATTGTTATATATAATAAATCTATTGTTATTGTTTTATTTGAATTTTTTTAATTAACATTGTTATTCTTATTGTTACTGTTGTTAGTTATTACTGATAGTACTTATATACTTATTGTAAATGTTTGGCTATTATTATTACATTTATAATTAACATTGTTATTTTTATTGTTTACTTTTGTTAATACCATTACTGTTATTATTATAATTATTATTACCGTATTATTATTATTAATTATTTATTTTTTTTACTATTAATTTGCTATTTGGTTTATATATTGTTTCAAATTTATGGTGCATATTTGTAGGTCGTCACGATTTTGTCAGTTACATAATTGTATGTTACTGATTCTAACTTTGTATTTTCTATAAAGTGAAATAAAATGATTGATTAATATCTTTATTTGCTTTTAAGCCTTATTTAATATTTAACAATTAGTTTAATTATTAAATTTCTATATGTTTTTAATTGAGAATCTTTTTTGGAACCACATGGTTATCTTATGTTATAGAGTCAATAAGATTATTTGTTAGATATACAATGTAAGATATTTTTCTATTATGGTAACCCAAGACACTTTATTGATATATATTTATAGTTTTCATTTGTAATATTTTATTCAGAGAGTTAAAAAAAAAAAAAAAACAGGTGTTTCTAATGTTATCGTAGAGTCCACGAGTTGTGATTTATTGGATAAATAACGTAAGATATTTTTTGTATAAGACATTTTTTGTATAAGGTCAAGAAACTTTATTGTCAACAAACAAGGTACGATGTTTTTGTTATGTTGCATACCCATAAATTTTGTTTATATATATTTATAGTTTTTATAAGTAGTATTTCATTAAAAGAAATTTTTGAAACAACAGGGTTGTTGATAGCAAGATAATAGATTATGCTTAATTAGGTGTTCAGTCATGAAATCACGCATTATTTTCTCCATTACTTTTCCAATTGCTGAGGTGAGGGAAATAGGCCTGTAATTTCCAGGATCAGTTCAAAGTTATATTGATATATCATGGCAGCCGATATTCGACCAGCGTTTAGCCGTTGTTTTGCCAGTGATCATTTTTACCCTACTTTAGGTTGATTTTATTTGCTTTTTAACATGTATTGCTATTTTTCTAAATAAACAATACTTAAATAAATGCGAGATTGTAACTTAAGCAAGCAAAGGCAAGATTTTAACTTAGAGATTTTAACGTAAAATAAGTAAGGAAGAAAAAGATAAAGCGGGGTGATGTTTGACTACTTAAAGTCTCCTGGGTGATAAAAAATAGAATGTGGGATATTTTTAACTATAAACACACCGTCATTTTAGCAGTACAAGTTATATTACCAAATATTTTTATTTCAATAAAATAGTCTTTCAATACAATACATATAAAAGTTTAAGGTTAGTGAAAAGTTCTACAATAGTTCTAAACTTCTACAATAATTCCAACTTGATGCTTGCATGAGCTGACGTTTGATACTTCTCGATATATCTATATTTGTTGCCTGCCAAGCCCCATCTGAAAGATTTAGTAATTACAAAAGTTAAAAAAATAGCCAAAAGTCAAGAAATCGTAAAATAAGTATAAAACTGTAATGTAAATAACTAAAAATAAAGTAATTGCAAAACAAACTATACAAGTTAGTAATAACATTAAATAAATTTAAAAAAATTTTTCAAATATAATTCTTTATTCTATATTATAAGTAATAATATACCTTTTTTTCACACTTTGCTAATAAGATCTTGATCTAGGCAGTGTTTGATGCTCTTCTCAAAACTTGACTTCCAATATTCTTGTGTTCTCAAACCAATTTGTTAAAACTAATAAATTAAAGAAAGATAAATAGATTGAACTTGTTTACCCTAAAATATATGTTATAATTGTATTTACTGTTTATACTTTTATATAATATTCGTCTTAAAAAATTTAACCTGTCCTGTTATTTGGTGTCAAATGAAATAAATCATGCAGTCGTATAAGATGCCAACAACATAATAAAAGTATTTAAACATAAATACTTTTAGAAATATAATTCAAAAGAAAAATATTTAAAAAAAACCTTGTGAATATGCAACTTCTACTCTACTCTCTAAAAATTTAAGATTTTAAACCGATAAATTTCACAAATTTTTTTCCACAAAAAAAAGCCTTGAAATGTTTGTTCTCTCTCTCTCTCTCTTTCTCTCTCCCTCTCTCTCTCTCTCTCTCTCTCTCTCTCTCTCTCTATATATATATATATATATATATATATATATATAGATATATATATATATATATATATATATATATATATATATATATATATAATATATATATATATATATATATATATATATATATATATATGAAGTTTCTTGGGCTACTATATATAATCTTACATTGTTTATTCAATAAATCACAACTCGTTGACTTCATGATAACATTAGATAATGATATTGTTCCAAAAAATACTCTAAAAGAAATAAAACATATAAAAACTATAAATATAAATCAACTAAGTTTCATGAAACG